TATATATATATAGTATACTATATATATATATATATATATATATATATATATATATATATATATATATATATATATATATATATATATATATATATATATATCTATATAAATAGTATTTGCTTTTCGACAGTCTTCTGCTTGCATCGTGTGGACAGTTGTCCGCAATAAAATCTAATATTTTCACACGAGTTGTATACACATGCATGTATTTGTGTACGTCAACACATGCACACATAGCCATGCAAATTTCTTCAGTGCGTGTAAACTATCGTGTACAAGCCTTTTTGTATATTCATCCATCTACCCGTTTCATGACCTTCCTAGACGAGCAAAACAATCGCCTTCAACCGTGGCAACTCGCTCTTCTTCAACATCCGGATGTTCGGTATACATACACCGAATGGCCACTCCTTCGAGTCGCACGCATACTGGTACATGACCACGTGTCACGAACTAGCCCACGCCTTCTCGTCAGCACACGACCAGACACATGGGTCGTATTTGTCCTATTTTGCCGAGGCTTACATGTCGGCCTTTGCGAAGTCTACCAATCACTTGCTCGCCAGGTGATTAGTCTAGTTTGAGCTAACTACTAAGGTATAGACTGAACGCTGTAAGGACGATGTATTTGTACACCTGTAGAGTAAAGGAATTTATTACTACCCAAGAACGCTAGTACATAAATAGTCGCATGGTCTGTATAAAGAGTCACGACATATACTAAAAACAAGAACGTTGGAGCATAAGTAGTCGCATGGTGTAGCATACGAGTCCGAAACATGTATACAATTACATAAATATATACAATACATAAATATACACCCACGATTAATGGGCTTATATCGAGAGTGCCAAGCCGCATATTGCAACAGCATCAGCAATAGCTAGAGTGTGTTCGTTGCAGACGCGTTTGATACTAGTATTTAGAACGCGAGATACAGTTGCTAAGTGAATTGAACGCTTAAGGTAGTCCAGCCGGCGCGCAGGTGCCTCAGAACCCAGTCGTCAAGTGTCGTAACAGCAAACCTACGAACTTTATTTGATAGTAGAGAACTTATATGTCAGCTTAACTAAACTATTAAATAAAACTAACCTCCGTGACTAAACACATCAACTAGATGTACTTACTTGTCCATTTCTCGTCATCCATTCATGTACCGACCGAAGGGCACCATTGAAAGTACTAACCGGGTGGGTCAAAACGGTCAAATGCCATCACCTACCATTTACTGCACACGGGTGTAGACATTAGTGGTATGTGTGGAATGTGTTATATAAATACACTATTAGGGTGTGCAAACCTACACGTTGACTTGAGAGAAGTCGTACAAACCTATTACAATACTTATCCAATACACACATAGCTTCTACACACTCCTATGAGAGTGCCGGTGGAGAGTGACGGATGAACCTAAACACTGGTCATTTATTGACATGCACGGACGTTCGATGGCGCAAACTATACAATCACAGACCCTAAGATGGATGTATTGTACTCTTATTAGGAGTTCACCCTTGCTTAAGCTACAGCACAAAGCTGTAGGTCTGAAGCAGTGTAGCGTAACTATGGTCAACAATAGTCAAGGTACGAAACGCTGATGCTTTATTTGTCGTATGCTTATCGGTCATGCTAGAGATGTGATCGCGATTTTACGGAAATAAACATATTGAGTACAAAACTGCAGACCCCCGGATATTCTATATAAAAAAACATGGATTTACTGCAAGTCGGCACTCAGCGAGCAACAAGCATATATACATATGCATATAAATATATTTCACAAGTATATATATTACATGCACCTCGTATTGTAAACTGTGCCGTTCGTTGTTTAGATATAGCAATAGATAGCACCATGGATGACGACGAAGAGAAGCAATATGTAAAGCTGGTGAGCTCAGACGAGCACACCTTCCACATTTCACGCAGATGCGCGATGGTATCAGGAACGATCAAGTCGATGCTCAGCGGACCCGGTATGTACTTGCTTCTTGATATTTTGTATTTATATTTATATATGTATATACATCTGTATGTATATATGTATCTGTATGTATGTATATATATATATGTGCGTGCGTGTGTGCGTGTTTGTA